GCTATTGAAAAACAGTTTCTCCCTCTCCATTTGGGTTAGAAACAGCTTGAGCACATCAAACTGTCAGCGACTCCACCAATCATAATGAATACTAACGTTTGTTTTCACCTGCATAAGCTTTAGGTTTTCCAAAACAAATTATGAAAGAGCCTAGAGTCTGGAATACTTAAGCCACGTTAAGTGGAAGGTCAAGATACTCTGACCTGAGAGGGAGCTCTGGTAGCATAGTCTGTAGGGAGTTGTGCTGCTAATCAAGGGCAGTCCCTCTCTGGCAGTTCAAATCCACTGGCCCCTCCATGCTCATCAAAAAGATGAGCAGTTTCATACTTTATGATTTACAGCCTCCAAAAACCTATTGGATGGTCAGCTGTAAGTCAGTTCTGGCTTTTACATTGATGAGAGAAGAAGATGAGAGTGAGAATAATGACAGATATGTTAACTAAATTGATATGTCTGACATGAATAAAAATGTGTGTCATAAAATATAATAAAATAGCTATTGTCATCAGTTTTTGGAAAGCAAAGTTGAAATTTTTTTTCTTATGAGTTGGTAAGACCTTCTTGACAATAATATTCCATGTTAAAATCAGTCAGAATATCAGTATGAAAAATTACATAGGAAATTTAGAGTTTTTAAATGCATACCCCTTCATGTTTATTTTTTAAAATGTGAAGAGATTAAATTTAGATGGCGTCTTCCTATGCCATTGCCGTAGACTGTCAAACATCAAAAGTAATCAGACATAAAAAAGGTTAACTTCTAATTTAAGATGTAACTACCAGCTAGTAAAATGCTGCTGCAAGTAGGAAGATAGTGCTTTCTTAATGTCCATCAAAATAAAATGATTCCCTTCCTGTTTGACTGTGACCCTGTCTGACCAACTGCACAGAATTTTTTAATATCAGCTTTATTGCATACATTTATCCCATACATTTACAAAGAAATAAAATACAAAATAACTTGATAAGCAGCAAAATATAATCCATTTTTATAAAACCTGTGCTGTGTTAATTTGCAATCAGATGTGTTCACCATTTTAATATTTATACATCCTTATATTGTTCTGAACCTGTTCTTAACATGGGTTTTATTCTCTCCTTCCTCACTTCTGTGAAACACAGAAGGAAAAGGATATTTGTTGTTCACACATTTGCACCCTACTAACTGGTGTTACATATCTGGCTTCCACTGGAGAGCCCCTGACATCGCAGGGAACGGTGATCAAAATTCCACACACTAGCTTCAAGCTGGGGGCTCGTAGCTACTGCAGCATTGAAAGGGGGGGTCTTTATCTGGCTTCTTTAAAATAAAGCATGGTGATGGGATGGTTTAAGGAAAGAACACCTCTCAAAGCACATGACCACTGCTGCGCTTCTGTGTGTCCTGCTTTCCTCATTACAGCTTGGCACTACATTCTTTCCCTGAACTTCAGTAGGCTGTGCGTGTTCAAGTGTTGGGGAGTCAGTGGATGGTTATACATTGTGCATGCATCCTTCAATGTTAGAGTGATGTGCCTTCCCTTATGTGTCACAAATTAAGGTCACAGATTCTTCTGTGTTCCTCAAAGATCAAGCCTTCTCATTCTTATTGGTGTGAGATCCATGTGTTTTGATGTTAACACCCTCAAATGTTCACATTGCATTAAGCATAATTTGAAATGTTCTTCCATAAGAGTTAGCTTTTCATGTTGGGCTGAAAAGTCTTCATTTCTGTGTAGCAATTCATGTTATTATAACCTATGGCTTTCGATTGTACTTCCCATAATGAAGAGCTGACTTTAAACACTGTGCTATTCTTGTTATGACCTAAGCATAAGGTAAGTCACTTCTCTAACTGTATCTAAAGATTGTGGTTGATTGTTAAAATTATTTCAGCTTTCTTTTTCCAGGCATTTTCATTTATTTTTCTTATCTCTTATCATTTAATACATGCTCTCCCTCCTGTCATTTTCTGTTTCATGTTTTAAGTTTTAAGGACAGTATTATCTTTAGCAAAAGTTATATCACACATGTAAATACATGTTGAAATAAATTATTTGATATTTTAAAGCAGTCATGATAAGTTAACAAATACTTTATTTATACAAGTCCTTGTGTTCTCATTTCTTCCATCAATGTTAATATTATACTCTTTATACACATTATATTGAGTTTTTATTACAAAGGTAATTACTTGTCAGCATCATGAAATAAGTTATCAATTGCAACAGAATTGCATGGTCCAGAAGAATAAGAGTAGACAATGTGACACCACGTCTTTCATTAATTCCTGACAAATTTGGTGTTAAGTAAAACAATCTGTTTTATTTTGTTATATGGGCTTTCCTTCTTTTCCATTGATTATAGGCAAGGTAATATACAGAAAAATAACAACCAGTTTTAAAACTAGAGACAGCCTCTGTTACTTACTTTGTACTTTATATGTTTGAGAAGAAAAGTAAGAGTTGTTTTCAGGTTTATTGTTCCAAGTAAATCCTACTGTGCTGTGACTAAGGGTATGGTAAAAATCTTTGTAGTAGGATTTTATAAAATCAAATACTTAAAAGATGACTAATAACATTATACAATAGAGAGTCATTTGCCATCTATTTAAATGTTAAACAGAGGTGGGTTTTCTGAATTGTTTTCCTCAATGATATTTTTATATTCAAGACCACTAAAATAAATAAATTTTATTGTTGTTGATTTGTGTCAAAACTGGTTCAAATAGCCAGTGTAAATAAATGGAAAACATTGGTTATACTGTAAACTTTGTTAAGTGCTCAGATTCAAGGAGTGGAATTGTTTTCCTATCCAAATTTTTATCCCTCAAAGTTATTTGACATATAATTTCTAAACAGAGGTCCCACAAGGCAACACTTGTACTTGAGTCTATTAAAATCATGTTTTGGGTGATTTTTTAATATTAATTTTTAAAACCGTCTAAGAAACAGGAGAGGATATTTGGAAGTTTTTTTATTTGTTTGTTTTGTTTTGTTTTTTAATACCAGCTAGTTCTTCACCACCATTTCCACTTAGCTGTTATTTAAATTTGTTAAAACAGTTTATTAGACAATTAGAACTACTCATCTGAACTGCTCTGTTCATTGTAAATCTCTTGTTTCTATCCATACACTAGCTCCACTCTAGGTTGGAAGGGCTTAAAGATGAACTCTGGAGGAATAGAGGCTACGACTTAAGAGTAATTATTACTGATCAAAGGAGCTACTTTCCATTCGCAAACATTGCTTTGCGCTATGGGCTTGGGCTCCTTCTGTTTCTACGTCTTGTTGAAGACCTACTTGACTTCCATTTGACTTCTTTGAATCGTTTTTGTCTTTCAACATTTCCCCTTTTATTTATTTTTCTTGTTCTCTCCCAGCTTTTTCTTTCACTATTTTAGCTTTCTCTTTTGTTCTTGAATTGCTTTCTAAAATTACAGTTTCTCTCTTTATTAACCTTGTTGATTAGTGTTTGTTTTCTTTTCTCCTTAAAGGCTATAGTGGTATAGTTACACTCATTTCCATTCCATGATTTGCCAACTTGCTTGTTTACTTTGCAGCAAGTTCATTAGTCATTCTTACCTTCTCGATATGAATTTTCAATAAGAAATAGCAGAACTTCTGCATTTACATACTATCATGCCTGTAGGCTTAGCTTTTCTTTTCCTGATTCACCCCCTGAACCACTACCTCCTTTTTTTCCTTACTCTCATGCCTTTCTTTCTATACTATTTTCTTTCCACTTCATTAATTTCCCATTTGGTCCAGAATTGTTGGTCAATAAGACATCTGAAGATAAGAATTTAAGAATATTATCATCCAGCAAGTTCTTCATACTAGTGTATTTCAAATATTGCAACGATCTGGGCCAAAAGAGAACAAAATATTTGGAATTTTTTTTTGGTGTGTGTGTGTGTGTGTGTGAGATTTTGTTCCCCCCCCCCTTGTATGTATGTTTGTGTTGGGTATTTTTTGTTGTCGTCGTTGTTTCTTTAAACATTAACAATTGTTTTTTTCAGGGAAGGACTACCATAACCCACCCTAAGTTGCAACATTCCATAAATTGTTTCATTACTATAAATAGATTGTGTCAAGCTGTAGTAATTAATTTGTTGTGTATAGTAAATCCATTTGGGGGCAAGCTGCTGCAGAGTGGGAAGAAGAGGTATGGTCTTAAATTGCTTCCTCTGTGCTCGCTTAGGCAGCACATATATTAATATTAAATTGTTTCCTCTGAAATTAACAGCATTGTTAATACCACCTTATAAGGCCCCTGAATTCAACAGTTTAGCAACGGTTCAAAAGAATCTTCCACTTTGACCTAAAATATTTTAATCAAAGCTAATGGTTTCTAATTGATAAATTAAATATACACCCACACAATGTATACAAACAAAATGCATAAAAATTTTGTATGCAAACAAATATAAAAATAATTAAATTAAAAAGAACATGGAGATATATTTGTTCAATTTTGTTGATTTCAAAAGAACAGCTTTCAAAACTAGTCAATTTAATTGGTAAATAACAAAGATGGTTAAAATTAAGGGTAAATATTGTGTATAACAGGATTTCTTTATGTTTGTTCTTGGTATATCTTTATGTACTACAGATGATTACAAGGAAATAGTTGATTACAACTTTATTGAATTATTTCACTTTATTATTTGAATCAACATATATGCTAAATGATCTGAGATTAAGGGTCTTATTAACAACTGAATATATTATATATTGAACTGTTTTACAGATGCTGATTTCAAATACACAAAAAATACCTTTGGCTTTGCTTCTGTACATTGTGGCATGATGTCCCTCAATTTTTCTTCTTGAAATCAATTGATTATTTCTTTAAAGAAGGCATAAATATATATATATAACAAAGTTTTACTAACTTGTTTTATATATGAGATACAAAAAGCCTCTGCTTTTAGACCTCAGGAGCTTGCCCATTAAATTTGTATACATGGCTATCCATGTTATCAGCCCTAAATTACTGAGTTTATGCTCTCTCTACAGGTCCAGTCCAGGTGCAGCAGCAAGGAGAACATTCTCAGAGCCAGTAAGTATTTCATTATTGTAGGTGCACTACTGAAAAACAATAGGAAAAGTTTGTGTCAATAATAGAAGTATTAGAGCATTCACCTTCGAAAAGCATTGATTAGCGTCAGTATATTAAAAAATATTTCCTTAATTCATGTCATTTTGCAAGCTGCAGACAACACTCAATAGCATAATAATGAACTCCTCTATGTCTCTATAAGATTTTAAAAAACCCTCCTCTTTAATTGTCCCATGGTCAATAAAATATTTGACTGAAAATTATATCAATTCATTAAAGAAGTGTAACTAAAAAATTAAGAGCATCTGACTCCTATGAAGATACACAATAATCTTTTAAATATGAATTTCTAAAAGATCTTGCCTTTACATGCATCTTGATTTAGAATATAGTACCCAAAACCAAGGTTAAAGAACCATTAATTTCCTTTTTTATAACTAATAACAGTACTTTGGAAGTTACATGTTATTCATTTTTTAATCTGGTATATATTTTAAAGCTATAAGTAGAACTTCTTCACTTATAGCCTTGAGAGTAGTGACAAAGGAAGTCTTATATTAAGATCTACAAGACCCTAAAAGAAAAGAGCTCTCAAGACACTAATTACCTTACTATTAATTTCTGTCATTAATAAGCTTAATGGCATCATCCCATCTCCTTCCTGATCAAAGTCAGAAGCAACAACACAGGTGGATCATACAGAAATAAATCTACTAGGAACCACATATCTGTAAATTTTAGTAAATGGGATCACTTAGATTGGGTAGCATGCCTTATTTTGCCATCAAAAGCCATACATCACTGAGAAGTAGGTGGGGTGATTTTACCTCCTTGACCGACATGGGCGAGATGAGCAGACTCCTACTGAGAGTTGCTTAGTATGGAAAACCCAGTGATATAGAATCCTAGGACATGGATTTTTTTTTAATTGAACTTAATATTAACATGTTGTGAGAAATATTGTATTCGGTTTTATAAATAAGAAAATATACTTGCTCAAATTTACATCAAGAAATCATGTTATTTATACAGAACACACACGAGACATTTTAAAATGAAAAACAGCAGCAAAAAAAATTTTGAAGTAATTAATTGAAACATGCAGATAAAAATTTGCATTTTTGTTTTCACTAATGGAAAAATTAACACCACTGTCTTGTGACTGCTACCTTATTGAGAAACCTTTGGAGTGTAATAAAGAGTTTTGGATCTATGTCTGGTCTGTTACGTAGATTCATGGTACCATCTTGTAACTGTGTTATCTTATTGAGAATCCCTTGAATTAATGGAAAGCACATTGTAATTGTTTGCCTAATACTTTTAGATTTTTTAAAAAAATTGGTACAGGCTGGCATATTTAACATGTACACTTCCATGAGTTTGTCCAATTAGCTTATGAATCTGAAGGAGATTTCTCGGTAATAACAAGTGTAAAGTCTTTCTCCAGTGGAGAAGGTGGTGAATTTGAATTGTGTACTTTTGAGTTGGGATCACAACCTCTTGCCAATAAGTCACCAGAGCTCTTTGATTAAGAATACAAAATATAAAGTAGGTTCAAAATTGGGAAGGGCGTACACCAGGGATGTGTCCTGTGTTCATAGCTTTTAAACTTGTATGCAGAACAGATTATCTGGGAGGCCGGGCTCCATGAGGAGAAATGTGGGGTCAAGATTGGTGGACGATCTATCAACAATCTTCGTTATGCAGATGACACAACCCTGCTTGTTGAAACTGAGGAGGACTTGAAGCACCTGCTGCAGAGGGTCAAGGACTGCAGCCCCCAATATGGATTGAGGCTCAATGTCAAGAAGACAAAGATTCTCACCACTGGGCCAATTGGCAGAATTAGGATGGATGGTGAAGAGATTGAGATTGTTCACAGCTTCAGTTTCCTTGGCTCCATAGTCAACACTCTTGGCAACAGTAGCCAGGAAATTAAAAGGCTCATTGCCATGGGAAAGACTGCTGGTAGGGACCTCTCCAAAATACTGAAGAGCAATGGTGTCTCTCTGGAGACTAAGGTGCGTCTTATACAGGCCATGGTCTTTGCTGTCACTTGTTATGCATCAGAGAGTTGGACAATGACTAGGGAGGATAGAAGGATAATTGGTTCCTTTGAGCTGTGGTGCTGGAGAAGAGTAATGAAGGTACCGTGGATTGCTAGGAAGACAAACAGATTCATCCTGGAAAGGGTTAAACTGGGTAGCTCCTTGGAGGCAAGGATTCTGAGGCTCCATCTAACATACTTTGGACCTTGGAGGAGGACATTATGCTTGGGAGGGTGGAGGGACGGCGCAGGAGGGGAAGGCCCTCTATGAGGCGGATTGATTCAGTGACTGGAATAATCGGAATGAGAGTGTCAGAGACAGTGTGATTGGCACAGGATAGAGCAGAGTTTAGGGCTGTTGCACATAGGGTCGCTATGAGTCACAAGCGACTCGACGGCACACAACAACAATAACAACAAAGTAGGTAATAAGGACTACATATGTAACAATCATTAAGGATACCAAACCAATGTTAAAAATAAGGATTATATATGTATCACAGTAAAAATAACTATAAACCAGTAAAAGGAGAAGAGGAAATTAATTTTTAAAATAACATGAGAATGCAGATTAAAGTGTAGTAATCAGCATTCTTGCTCTATGGATGTTAAATGGAAGCCCCTAACATCTCTTCTGCAGGAAGATCTTAAGTGGAAGCCATCTACTTTAGAGGATTGTCTGCTCCTGAAGGATTCCTGAATATAGTTTACATCTTCCAATAAGACCTTTCGTTCAAAAATGGATTGTTTCTCTTTAACTGAGATACATACATCCGTGGATAAAACTTTTGGACTTTCACATCTCTCCTGTTAACAGTACCTGCTAAGGGTCTTTCTAATGAGTTTCCAGCACTTACTTTCTTTTATATCCCTTCCAAAAGACCAGTTTTCTGGATTTTAATCATTCCAAGGTTCTTTAGAAGGATGTTGAGGAAAAGATGCTCAAATATGTTAGCAACTATGGTCTTACAGTGGTAGATAATTTCATATAAGTATTTTAAAACTACTTTATCTGAGGTTAATGCTTCTAAACAGATATTCTTCTATTATCCTCATGTAATTTATATCCATATTTCTACCAATACCTCTTTTTCTCACTTCTGGGGTTAATCACTAACAACTCGTTGTTGAGCCTATGCATGCAGTCGCATAGCTGACTCTCCATTGGATTTGCAAGGCTGTAAATTTCACAGAAGAAGTGAGGAGTGGCTAATGGATTCAAACAGCCAGAGAGGATCAGTCTTTGAGTTAGCAGCACAGAGTGGACTACACCACCTACCACTCTATCATTCTGAATTACCCTTTTTTTCCAATTTTATTTTATATTGATTTGCTTACAAAATTTGTATACATTGTGTTTCACATTATTCTTCATTCACATTGTGTTTCGTATAATCATTCCTGTGCATTATGTTTTATAAAATTCACCATCTTTGGACCTTGCTTATCGTTACTCTGTCTTCTCAGATCCCCACCAAATCCTTCCATTTCTTTCACCCCCTCCATCCAACCACCAAATTATGCAACCCTTTGGTTTTACCCATACCCATCCTCATTCCTCGACTCTTGCCCCTTTCCCCGTATGATCCCCATACATGTTTTACCAGTTATCCTTCTATTTTTATAATAACAGTCTTATACAATATTTTTCCTTATAAGAGTGAATTAGTTCATTCAGTATAGTGCTCTCTAGTTCCTCTGAAGTTATGTAATATTTTTCTCAAGTGTTGCTCCTGAGTGCTGCTTAGTATTCCGTCGTGTGAATGTGCCACAAGTTCTCAATCCATTCAGTTGGGCTGTTTTCTATTTTCTTAGAATGATGAATAATGCTGCTATGAACTGTGGTGTACAAATCTCCATTTGTTTCTCATTTCTGGTGGTGTATATTCCTAGTGCTAGAAAAGCTGCATTATACAGAGTTCTGTGTTCAACTTTTTGAGGAATTGCCAACCTGACTTACCAGAGGAGTTGTACCATTTTACACTTCCAACAGTTTAGGAGAGTTCCCACCTCTTGAACATTTATTACTTGCTGCCCTGGCACTCTCTGACCTCAAAACCTACTTCACAGACTTAGGAACCAAAACAGCATGATACTGTACAATGACAGGCACATAGGCCAATGGAACAGAATCTAGAACCCAAAAATTAACCCCGGATGAGATGGATTGATACAGTAACTTCTGAAATGGGACTGGGTGTGTTGGAGTCAATGAGACTGACTCAGGATTGGACAGACTTCTGAAGTGTTCTACATAGGGTGACTTGGAGTCACAGACAACTTAACAGCACATAACAACATTTATGACCAACTGTTATTCAACAAGGAAATAAAACCTATAAAATGGGAAATGACCACCTCTTCAACAAATGGTGCTGGCAAAACTGGACTGCTACCTTGAGACAGCTGAAACAGGATCCACATCTCACACTCTATACAAAAATCAACTCAAAGTGGATCAGAGTCCTAAGAGTAAAACCCCAAACCAGAAGGTTCATAAGAGGCAAACTGGGATCAAGCTTAGAAGGCCTAATCTATAGTAGAAAGAGGCTGACAAATACAGCCAGAAATGTGCAACCTGGGGAGGATAAATTTGATGAATGGGACTTTGTAAAGATCAAATCTGTGCACATGAAAAACGTTTCCAACAGGGTGAAAAGAAAACCTACCAACTGGGGGAAAACATTTGGCAATACCATAGGATCGCTATGAGTTGAAAGTGACTCCATAGCGCTTAACAACAACAACATCTCAAACCGGTCTCATAACAAAACTATAGAATATTCCTGGGCCTCCAGAAAAAAAAAATAAAGACTGACAACCCAATTGCAAAACCCATGGAAAAACTTTTCACAGAGGGAGACATTCATGTGGCAAACAGACATATGAAGAAATGCTTAAACTCTTTGGCAATAAGAAAGATGCAAATCAAAACCACAGTGAGATTCCATCT